GAGTTTCAATGTCACATATTTTAAATAGACATTTATAACTTTCATTTCTAGATCCCAAGCCCCAGATGCGAAAAGTGGAGGTTTGCGTTAGGTGGTTGACACCCAACGTAAAATTTGCCAAAAAATCATAATATGAAATCTTTTAATTTTTGTGTAAATGTTAAGGTGTTTCTTGAAAGCAATGCGCTGTATGAACTGAATACATTTAAAAGTGTGCAAGGGTCGCTATAGCAGCGCCAGGTAGGAGTCGCACTAGAAATGATGTAGGTGTAATTATAGATAAGAGTTTGAAAGATAGTTGTGTAAAAATTAATAGAATTAGAGATAAAATTATAGCCCTAAAGACTATTGTTGATACTAAAATTTTGTATATTATATGTTTTTATGCTCCTCAAGTAGGTTTAGATATATGCTCAAAAGATAAATTTTGAAATAACCTAGAAGAATTAATACAAAAATAGCACTTCAAGAAATAAATTTTATTGGATGTGATTTAAATGAACTTATTGGTACACTTGTAGAAGATTTCTTAGAAATATTCATGATAATTATGGTTTTGTAATTATTAATGAAGACGATAGAACCATATTAGATTTTGCTTTAGCGTGTGATTTTGTTATTGTTATTACTTTATTTAAGAAAAACAGCGAGCATATTATTACTCATAAGAATGAATTTAATAAAACACAAATTGCTTAATTTCTTATGAGAATAAGAGATCATCGAGAATGCAGAAATTGTAAGGTCATTCAAAGTAAAAATTTTGAGTACGCAACATTAATTATTAGTTCTGGATTTTAAGAGGAAAAATTTTCAGATAAAAAATATAAAAAATATTGTTATAGAATTAGATGGGGGTATCTAAAAGATACAAAAAAATTATTTTTATGAGTAAACTTTAAGATTTCAAGTTTGGGAGGTTCATGAAGAAGCGAATTCTATGTGAGATAAAGTAACAGACACAATTAAATGAGCGACAAATGATGTACTTGGAGAATCAAAAGGGAAAGTTTTTAAAAAATAATTGGTTGTGGAATAATAATGTGCAAGAGAAGATAAAATAGAAGAATTTGTGCTATAAAAATTGGCTTAAATATAAAGGCTTAGAGAACTGAGAAAAATTTATGATGACTCATAAGGAGTCTAAGAGAACAGTTTTGACCCAAAAAATTCTGCTTTTAATGATCATTATAATAGATTATATACTAAAGAGAATGAAAAATATATGTATCAAATAGTCATATAAAGGGAAGAAAGGTAAAAATTTAATTCAAGTAAAGTGCATTAAAGATGAAGATCAAGAATACTTTTGTTAGAGGAAGATATTCAACATAGACAGGTGAGCTTTTTTTGATAAACTTTTCAATACGATCGACTTTAGTGATCTTAATATCATTAATAATAATAAAATATTTTACTTTTATCATTGTATTAGTAAAAAAAGTTGAGGAGACTTTATAGAAAACCAATGGTGGAAAATCAATAGAATCTGATGATATCCCAATTGAAGTGTGCAAATATTTAGGATATTTGGGATTTCTTGACTTACCAAACCCTTTATCATTGCTTTAAAATAAAAAAAAAAAGATGCTTTAGGAGTAAAGGAAGAGTATTTTGGTCCCTTTTTTTAAGAATAAAGGGGAAGCACAATAGTGTGCAAATTATAGAGGAATTAAGTTGATATGTCATACTTTAAATTATGAGAGGGTAATTGAACATAGGTTAAGACTAGATACAAAGATTTTTCATAGTCAAATTGGATTTATGTCTGATAGGTCTACTATGTAAGCTACATTTATTGAGAGGTTTGATGGAGAAATACAAAGAGAATGAGGATCTACGTATGATTTTTATTGATTTAGAAAAAAAACTTACGATAAGGTTCATAGAGAAGTCCTTTGGAGAGTTCTAGAGAAGAGAGGTGTTGATATGACATATATTCAAGTCATTAAAGATATGAATACTAGAGCTATTACTTGTGTTTCAATAGGAGGATTGACCAAGCATTTTCTTATTTCAATTGGACTATATCAGCAATCGACTTTAAGCCTTATCTTTTTTACTTTAGTTATGAAAGCTCTCGCTAGACACTTATAGGACGATGTACCTTGGTGTATGTTTTTCGCTGATGATATCCTTTTTGTGGATAAGACTATAGAAAGAGTTCAGGGAAAAATTGAATTATGGAGGTCTGCATTGGAATCTAAAGACCTTTGTTTGAGTAGGTCTAAAACTGAATTCACAGAATATAATTTTAGTAGTAGTGGCTCTAATGGCAGAGTTGTAACTATGGATGATTATATCATTAAAAAGTGTAAACATTTAGGATTTCTCTGGTTTATTATTCAAAGTGATGGTAATATAGATGGGGATGTTATTAGTAGAGTCCAAGATGGTTGTTTGAAGTGGAGGAATGCATCGGGTCTATTGTGTCATAGAACCACTTAGACTGAAAGGAAAATTTATAAGCCCTGCAATACTCTATGACACAGAATGTTGGCCTTTAAAAGAGAACCATAAAGCAAAGTTAAGTGTTGTTGAGGCGAGAATGCTTAGGTGGATGAGTGGCCTGACACTTGGACAAAATGCGAAATGAATATATCCGTAATAGGGTTGGTGTAGCTGCAGTGGTGGGCAAAATACGAAATGAATATATCCGTGAAAGGAAAATTTTATAAGATGGTGATAAGCCCTGCAATGCTCTATGGCGCAGAATGTTGGCCTTTAAAAGAGAAGCATAAAGCAACTTTAAGTGTTGTTGAGGTGACAATGCTCAGGTGGATGAGTGGCTTGACACTTGAACAAAATGCGAAATGAATATATCTGTGATAGGGTTGGTGTAGCTCCAGTGGTGAACAAAATACAAAATGAATATATCCGGGATAGAGTTAGAGAGAGTCATCTTAGATGGTTTGATCACATTAAACATTGATCATTTGATGAACCGGTTAAGAGAGTAGATGTTTTAGATTCGACTTATGTTAAGAAAGGCTTGGTCATGTTGTGTAAAAATGGATTTTAATCTATTAGAATTAAATGAAAATATGATTCTCAATAGGACGCAATGGAGAAAAAGGATTCATGTTGCTGACCCAACTTAATGGGATAAAGGTTTGTTGTTGTTGTTGTTATTTACATTACCATTATTCTCATATATTTGCGACTGCGATACTAACTTATTAATTTTTGAAAAACTATTGTATTCGGTATATTGTTTAATGAATCTATTTTTATATATGTTTACTAATAATTTTGTACGAGTATTGAATGGGTTTATCCAAAGGCAAGATGATCATGATTCAATTGACAAGTTAGAAAGTGATAACTTGAGAATTGGGATTAGTCACATTATTATATGTTTGATTGTAAATTTGTAAATTGTAATTTCATTATTTGTTTCTTTTATTTTAATCGTAAACTGGCATGTTGTAATTTGTAATTTCATCAATTTTAAAGTGTTTAAATTTTTATGTTGTAAAACTTGTAATTAAAAATGTATTTAAATAAAATGTTCTAATTTAAAGCATTTTTTTTATTTTCTGTACTTTTTAAAGCATTTTCGAGCTAATTCGAGCCGAATTAGCTCAATTTGAACAAATCAAATCATTTTGAGCTTGTTCGAACGAAACAAAAATGTTTGTTAATTACTATCTATTTTCGAGCTTAAATGAACAATTCAAGCCAAATTCAAACAAATAGGACCGAACATGATCACAAATTTCACGAATAAATTCAAACACGAGCCGATTTCGAACACAAACAATTTCAAACAAGTCGAATACGAACAGGAGCTCAATGCTCTCATGTTCGGCCCGTTTACACCCCTATATACACCGGCTTACTTGATTGAATCTTTTTCTCAAATGAGAAACATGACCAGGACCCTGCAATAATTCAAGAATATCTAATTATTATCGTCTCCAATGATAAAAATTTAGAAGGATGGTAAAATCTGGAAGAAAGTAATGCGCGTGTAACATCTTTGCATAGAACTAGAGGAAAATAATCTCTTTAAAAATGATAACAAGTGAAGATAGGAATAAGCATCTGCGTGGTCTTTGTTCCACACAAAATGGAATAGGTAGCGAATTTATGAATTTATTTATTCATTTATTTAATTTTGAAAAGATTAAAAAGAAAAGAAGGTAGAAGTAGCCAATTCATGTTTTTCTCTTATCCAATCTGCAGGTCTTACGACTTCCTAATTTGTTAGTCTGATTTCTGTAGAAGTACATGAGCTGCTGAGGATTCTTTTTTCCTTCCTGTGAGATGCATAAGCTATCAGATTAAAATGTTACCAAGCTTAATGTTTTTGACATAGTATTGTTACTAAACCATTGAAGATTGCACAAATGACACTGAAATCTGGAGGAATTTGGAAAGATTTGGGAAACACGTCACTTCTAATTATTTGTTAGTGCCTTGAGATACTCCTTTGCTATTAGAATATACTCTGCTGGTTGGAAATAATCCAATGCTAATATAGGTGGCACTAGAAACCACTGCTCATCCAGGCTGCATGTAAGTTTCTAACAGGAGCAAGGTATAGTGGGAATATTGAAACAAAGTTATTTTGGGTGCTTGTACATATTTGAATTAAACAGGGACAGGGCGCGGAACATGAATTGGACCAAAATTTAGCTTGCTTGGCGTCTTATCCTTATTGAATATTGTCATGATCTGTCTAAGCTGCTATCGAACCAAATATCAAAGGCTTTTGCAATTGGAATACTAGATACTTGCTCTAATTTGTTTTTTTGGAATTGGTTCGTGGAGAGTTTTTCTTTAGTTGACACACTGGGTTTGAGGAAGAATATGGGTTTGTTATCAACATTTTTTATACTGTACATGAAGCTAAATTTTTAGGGACAGGGAAGGTCACGTTCTTGTTTAATTATGTTAAAAATTCATGTGAAGTATAGAAATAAAACAATCCAGAAAGAGTGAATATACTACCATGCTTTGGTAATGTAGCCTTAACTGTAATCATTTAAATGCAGGAATCCTTTCGGGGAAAACCCATCTGGTTTGCCTGAGAGGACTAATGAAAGTGCTGGTGCTTATGCGAAGGCATGCATAGCTGTTGCTACAGAGTCTAACATTCCAGTGATCGACATGTGGTCCAAAATGCAGCAATTTCCTTCTTGGGAGAAGTCTTTCTTAAGGTATTAAAATCTTTTCCAATCTACATATTTTCTTATTAATTTTATTAGTTTGATCAAATTTTAGTGCTAATTTTTCTCACATATCTTTTTAATCATTGGGCAACTGAGGCAACTATCTGCTTGTCTGTCTTTATGGTCATTGACACCCCAAGTTAAAACTTTTAATTTCTTCTGGAGGCTTAAACTTAAAAACATAACAAAGTTGTCCTAATTGTAATTGTTGTCGTGAAAAAGGAAATGCTTGCGTTTTATTGGATAATTTGATGGCTCATAAAGAATGGGAAAATCTTTACTATGATGCAGTGAAGTGAGAAGATAGCAATTGAGAATAACCTTTTCCGCTCATGCTAGTATGAATTTTAGGGTGGATATAAGATAGAATTTAAGTATCATTATAGTCAATTTCCTTATCCCAACTATTTGGGGTGGCTGCTATAATTAGTGAAGCATACTTATTATTTACAAGAAGTCATCTTCTTATCCTCATATCATTATTCTTATCTTATCTCAACTTTTTTGCTTTATTGCTAAAACCTTCTCCGTTTATTTTTGTTGAATTTCGAGGACAATGGTTTCTTAAAATTTTGAGTTGCTTTCTATATAACTTTTCCCCTTCCCATGCCTTTCACTATAAACTTTTATCTTTTTATTTTATAGGCGCATCATCTAATCTCTAATACATAATACCTAAAACGTCTAATATTGTGTGAATTTCACTTTGAAAAAGTTAGATACGCGTCTGAACAAATCTCGATAAAATCCAACAGAAAAAAGTACAAAAAAGTACTGCTAAGGAGGTCCTATAGATGGAAGACCAATGGCTCATGGACGGAAGACCAAGGGCCCATGGACGGAAGACCAAGCTCCCATGGACGGAAGTCCAAAGGTCCATCAATAAAAGGTTAAGTGATTTACTAGCAGAATACCGAAAAATCTGTCTGATCAAGTGCAACCCCCTAAGTCGGGGTAAATGGCTGTTCGAGCGAAGACCTCAAAATGAAAGGTTAAAGCCTATCGAGCTCAGCAGAGCCACTAACCTGCCTCTCATCATAGCCTGATTCAAAAGAAGAATACAACATCCCCATCTATCTCATGGATGCCCTTGAGATTTCTCACTAGGGGGGGCGAGAATTGGTCATCACATAACCACATGGAACATCCCCAAAGGATCACCTCGTCAAATAGTAAACCACCTTTTGGATTACGGTGATTCACCCTCTACCTGCCAGCTTAACCTTGCTCTATCGACATGAGTTCTTTATTCGAGGATAGTCGACAACCACTCTAGCAGAGCCGACCGGCAAAAGCAAATCAAACAGGTCAAATCTCATTGATCTAAAGACCATCAAAGGCTGACCGACAACACTTATTCAAAAAAGGCAAACAAGCATGTTTTGGCGAACTAGGACCAACTAATTTTAGTAGACCGAGTTAAAGGGTAGTAGAACCAAAGGCTTACATAGATGCTAATACTTAAAATATTCTGTAACGTCTCCATTAAAACAAGGGAAGACATGTAATTTCATATATTGTACCCCATTTCCTTATAAAAAAGGGGATTATTTCACGTGGTAATTAACAATTCAAATAATTGTTCATTATTGTGCCTTTTCCTCTCTCTCTCCTCTATCTTACACTATTCATTGGATGTGATTCATGAACAGATTAGAATTCAACAAGTACAAAAAGAAATGAATGAAGTAGAAGGCATAAAATTTCTCTGTTATGCCCATAAATAAAATATTCAATTTTGTTTTTGAACAATTATAGTTTTTTGTGTAGTTATGAAATTTTTGTAGAAAAAAAAATTGACTAAAATTGTTTGCATTACTTGAAACATCAAGCTTCCGGAGTGTTGTTTATGATTCTATGGGACTATTTGGTTATAAGCAGGATTTAACTTAAAAGTACTATTTACGTATTTAAATTCGAAAGCTGTTTAATATAATATATGTTAAATTCAAGTAAATCTTGTAAAACTCTTTGGCGACATATTTCATGATTTAAATCTACTATTTGAAATATAATATTAATATTATATGTTAGGTAATTATTAAGTCGGATTATTCAAATTAAATAAAATTTTTATTTATGTTAAATGATACTTTTAATTAATTATTAATAATTTATTTACTAACTAATTAATAATTATTTTTAATTTTATTAATTAAATATATATTAATATGTAATTTAATTGGAATTACTTAATTATAATTTAATTAAAATATAAATTTTTATATTTATAATTAGCTTGGTAACATAATTGTTAGTGAGTACTTATTAGATTCGTGCATTAATCGAGATCAACTTGAATAAAATTATATTAAATCCTACTCCTAACTTGTCTTCCCCTCACCCCTCTTTTGTCTGAAACTCTCGCATAATTGCCTTCCCCCTCCTACTTTCACCTCATACACTACCCTTGCCACTCTTGTGCCTGAAACCCTCTGATACAGTTGCAATTGGCCTTAACTAGGAAGGCAATGATGGCATTTTGGCTTACAAAGACAGTTGAAACTCTCATCTTTCTCTCATTCATCCTACTCGAAACTGCTGAGGAAGGTAACCCTCGTCTTTTTCACTCTTCTTCCCACCACCCCTTTGTGCACTTTAGCCTATTTAAATCCTATAAATCTGCCTTCCAATAGGATTTGCCAAACCGAGAATTTAAAGAAAAATGGAAGAGAAACAATCACTATTGTAGTTTGGTAGGATTTAGGTTAAAATCCTGCTCAAATCTTGCTTCCAAAGTGGGACCTAGGTTTTCTTTCTATAAAATACTCGAAAACATGCTTATATTAACCCAATTCATTTTAAGATGTATGGCATTACAGTCATCCACTCCATCTGTAAGACACAAGAACGTTTCATTTTCTATTGCCAACCACATATTGTATTCCACAAAATTATCATCTAAGACACATCTATCACTTTAACTAAAAACAACGATAGTTTTTGGATCATTGCAAAGTGTCTTCAATGGGTCTTTTTTTAAGTCTATGTGAAGCTTAAGCTCCGTCTCCTTTATTTGATCGCCTTCACTTCTACTAGAAGATTCAACTAGCTCTGGTAGTGTTGTATTGAAATCTTAGGGGTAGCTATATAGGTGAAAATCCTCAGCCTCAGGGTTATTAGATTTTTGTGTTCTATTTGAAGAGGCAATTTCTTAGCAACTAGAAAACTTTTTACAAATTGTTGTAGGAATTGTTGGATTGGTGTTAAATCTCTGTCAGTTCCATGTCATGTCTCTTCAAAGCTATGCAACTTGATGAAGAATCCTAATCCTGTATCATGTATTGCCCTAATCGTAGTCTCGAGTGTCACCAAGATCTTCCACAAACTAGAGCCTCTGTTGGAACTCCTTTGTTAGGAGTTTATAATTCATCTTAGTCTCATCTAAGGGTAGCAACCATTTTATACCTAATATTATGTTAGTGCTCCCTACATGAAAGGGAACAAAATCCTCCTTCGTCTAAATATATTGTAGTGTTAAAATCATTCTTTTACAAGATCCCCCGCTCTATTCTCCACCTATCACATCCCTTTCAGGATTTCAAAACCGTGTCAACCATCTGAAGTCCCAATTGCTTCACTACTTATGTAGAGATGAAGTTGTGGGTGACCCCATTACTACCAACACCACTATATTCTGCACTCCGATATATTTCTAAAGTTTCATAGTGTGATTTGGTGTTAACACTACCACCGAGTTCAATGAGACTTTTATCACTTCCAAGTCCTCCATCTGAATGAGTGAAGGAATGCGCTAATAACTGAGCAGGTAACACAATTACATCATATCTCAGCATAGCTACATCGCCATTTGACCTACCTATGCCCGATGCGGACATGCCTATGTCAGGGCTCTGCAAAACACCATTTTGGCAATAATTTTATGGGTTTTTTCGAGCCCTGTTATATAAGGAGAGTTTTGAGAGGATTAGGGCGACTCTTGACTATTGGAGGCCGTTTTCTTCTTTGGCCTAGGGAGAGTCTTGTAAACCCTAAGCTCTTCTCTTTTGGTTCTCCCTCAGAGAAGAGATATAGAGTGTTTTTCTTGGATAATTTTGAGAAGATTGTGAGGGAGAGATAGTGGTATACTGTACGTAGAAGGTTGACGGGGAGTTGCATTATATGAAGAGGAATTTGGTATATTGCAAAGAACTATTAGCTCAATTGTGAGTTTTCTATATTTTTTTCTACTATTTTTTCGGTATTTTTAATAAAAATTTCAATTTTGTCACCTCATACATCATAACTAAATTTTCTTTCATACTCTTTGAATATAAGACATGCGATTTCCTTGTTATTTCTTTTAGTCTTTCCCAAAATATTTATTGTGCATTTGAATTTTGCATATTAATGTGTTAATCTTTTGATCACCGTTTACTCCTAATTTGGTCAATTAAGATGTTAAAATCACTTGTGATGTAGAACTTCTAATTGTTCACTAAAAGAACAAGTATATTAATACACAATAGCTAGTAAAATAGACATATTATCATTAGGAAATTGCAACCAAGATATAATACTAGAAGATTTCTAGGAATTTTACATGATTATGTCTCCTTAACTGTAATAATGTTTCCAACGCTTTTTATGACCTAGACACATGCTAAGGAGGACTTGTCTCTAGTTGTCAACCATTACCTGAGAAACTCATAGGAAAAGCATCGACGAATCACTAAACATGTGCACGGGAGCACAAGCCTCATCACCTCTAAAAAATCTTAAAGATTTTTGTGTTGTTTTCTTATTTATGCATTAGGATTTTAGAACATTTTATTTTCTACAAATCTCAACTTTCAAACTAAATCTATAGGTAAACTTGAACATAGTTTGCTAGAAAAGTTGACAAGTTTCCTCGTGAGATTGATATGCAGGCTCTAATTTTATATATTAATTGATTGACATATATACTTGATCGATTACTTTATAATAATTTTGGGCATCAAATTTTTAGAGTAGTTGTTGGGAAATGAGTATATGATTTTAAGAAAATTTTAGTTGAAATACTTAGATGTTAGGTTTGAGCTTTTTCCTTTTTTTTTTGTTTATCTAAGTTCCTCTTATAGTTTTGTTTGTTCTTTATTGTTAAGAAATTAAAAAATAATAAAAAAAATTGTTGTATTTTTTATTTTTTTGTTCACTTTCATTGCATATTTGAATCTAGACAAAACTCTAAAATCCTTAGCCCAGTTTGGAATCATTTTTGTTTTCAGTTTTCTATCTTTGTAAAATATTTGGAACAACGGTTGCAAAAGAAGGTTGTGATGGGGCTAGTTGGCAACGATCCGTCGGCGATCTTTGAGGAGGACTATGCTTGGGAGAGTACAAGGGGGTGTGAAGGCGGAGATGGAGGATGCGCTTTCTGGTCTCTTTTTCGGAGGTGATGGTTAAAGCAGTGATAGTTGCCTCCGTCATAACATGGCTTAGTTCAAGGGGCAGGAGAGGGGGCGGGGCGGGGCGGGACAGGGGCGGAGTAAAAATCTGAGTCCTGGTCATAGTGATGGTAGCTCTGCTTGGAGTGAGGTTGATCCATTCTAGGTTTTGAAGTTATAGGGTTCTTGGTTTTCCGCTTGCTTGCAATCTCAGGGTGAAGATGGTGATTTCAATGATTTCAGAGTTTCCAGTTCCATTGTTCGTCAATACATCCTTTAACAGTTCGGTTGCAGACATTGTAGTGTGCGTGTAGGAGCTCAATTGGCAAGCTCAATCACTCATAAATTTTATGGAGTACCCATTGAAAATTTCATTAAAAGTGAGATTTTTTTAGAGAGAGCATATAAAAATTTTAAGCTCAACTAAATATTTTATTTCATCCATGCAAGTACTTGAGAATTTTATAAGATGGTAGTGAGACATTCACTGATTTATGAGAGAATATTAGTCTTTAAAAGGAAAAGTTATTGCATCTGGAGTCCTGATGTAGACCCGGTCATGGAGTACAATATGATTGTACTGGTGATTTTTCTTCAGTATAACCATGTTGTACTAAGTAAGAAAACATCTAAATAAACAATTTGATATGAAAACCATAGAGTACAACATGGTTATACTTAAAAAAAAAAACTTCAATACAACCATGTTGTACTTCATGACCAGGAAGGGTCTCAGGCTTCTCCTCTTTTTAGACAAGGACACACGTCAAATTTTTATTAGAGTCCGTACGTCAGGACTCCAGACATAATATTTTCTCCTTTAAAAGAGAAGCATAAAACAAAGTTAAATTTTACTGAGATGAGAATGCTTAGGTGGATGAGTGGTTTGACATTTAGAGACAAAATGTGAAACTTCATTAAATATACTGAATATTATTATTATAGAAAAATATAATATTTTCCCTATATTTTTAAACAGTTTTATATCATGTTATATCATAACTAATGCGCTAAACTATATAAAAAGGATTATGAGCATACGAAAAAAAAAGAGAAATGATAGAACTAAACATGTATTTTTTAAAAAAAAATAGAAAACACATAAGAATATCAAACATGGTTTTTTATTTTTTATTTTTAAAATCATTTTTTCAAATAAGAATATCAAAGATATGTGAGTTTCATGTTAAAATATATACAGAAAAAAAAAAAAAACATAAAATAGAAAATATTCTAAAAGCCCCTGAGTTGAATTTATTCCAGAATTTAATAGATTTTTTTGGAGTCACCTTTCATTTTTTTCCATGTTGCATGATATTTTGTATGCAAAGACTAATTATAATTATATTCTGTCATTTTCTTGCAAAATCAATGAGCCCCATCTTGTAATTTGATAGTGATAACTCTACCATTGAAGAAGCTCTTTTAATAGCAGCCCATCCTTTTTCTTTTCCTTTTCTTTTTTCCTCGTATATGAGAGCTGTAAATTCTGTCGCAAGTTCTTTTCTAAAGAAGTGACTATATTTCTTTTGAGTTTGCAGCGATGGGCTGCACTTCACAGCTTCCGGCAATAAGATACTATTTGAGGAGGTGGTGGAGAAGCTTAAAGAAAGTGGTTTTAGTCCAGATGCTCTGCCTGTTGATCTACCACTCCTTAGTGAAATTGACCCAAAGGACCCTTTAAAAGCATTTGAAAATTGATCTGATATAGGAGCTCGTCATGAGATGATGTGGTCAAGCTTTCCCATTCACATGGCATAGGTAACTGTACTATATATATATATATATATATATATATATTGTAGAATAATATATTTATAATTGAGCTCATATATGTGTGACTTGATAGAGACACTGTTGCATTCCTTTTGTGCCAGCATAGTAAAATTCTGTGTACATGCACATTAATTACAATGTCATTTACTCAGGACAAAAATTATCAAGATTTCTTGGCGCAGTAATCTTTCAAGTCAGAAATCCAATAGAACGTAGTACTTATACTGAACAGAAGTATATTATCGTGACCTAACCCGGGTCTTGGAATTAACCAAGATGAGAACATATGGTCGGATGATGGAAATAAATTCTCTGTTATTCTAATTCTATTATTAACAATTCAATATTCAAATATTCATTAAAGAACCACTAAAACAATCAATTTAATTAACAAGTAGAAATTTATATCTTTCCTGTTGTTCTCGCCTCCCATACACATTTGTTCGTTTGCTATTCATCTTTTTCAAAAGCTAAAAACTTAAAAAAAATATTTAAACAATATAATGAGTTAACTAAAAATAACTAAGGAGTAATCATAGTTCTAAATTTTAGTAACTAAGAAAAATAAATTAATATGCATGCTTCTCATTCATATCTACGTGAAATATTTTGGAATATGTTAATCTTTTATATCTCTGTAAGAAATGTTTGAATACTAAAACATGTACCAATGACATTTACTCAATGAAAAAATACTCAAATCTTTCATATATATTTATTTTAAGTTTACTTTTATTTTATACTCTTTAAATACACATATGTCTTTTTGATGATCGCTGTCAACAAACTATTCTTCCATTAGAACGGGATTTACGATCTAAACATCACAATTATCTGAGGTGGAAATATCCTCACTCGCATAGGTTCAATATTCTCTCGTCGGCACAGTGGTTAGTGATATAAACATCACAATTATTTGGGGTGATGAGCTAGCTCTGTTTGCTTGCTATTGATCAATATTCTCTATCGACATTGTGGTAAGAGATCTAAACATCACAATTGTCTGGGGTGATAAAACACGTGTAGGTATACAAACATCCTTTACCTGTACGATAAGGGGTGAACTCTTCCTCTTAGCACACACATTTAAGCATTCATATTCAAGCTATTTCATTCTTCCTAACATGTATTCTTCCGAGCGTCTTCATTCATCTATTAACATACATAAGGGGTGAACTCTTCCTCTTATAAAGCGTCTTCATACATAATCATCAGACATATCTCTCATATCATGCATATTTCTTATATCCTTTGTATCTCTTATCTTATGTATTTCTTTCATATCATTCATATTTCTTATTTCATACTTTTCTCTTATATCATGTATATCTTTCATTTCATGCACATATTTCCCTATTATACTCATCATGCGTGTCTTTTTAATATAACAATATAAAAGATCTAGCTAAACTAGAGCATATATGGAGTCATACATTTTGAAATAAAAAGATTACTGAAATTTAGAAATATATTTGCTCACCTCAGTTGTCATACTAGATTCTCAAACTTCAGTAATTAGTTAGGCGTCGCAATAACTTTTATGTTGATTGTAATAACCTATAGAATAAAATATCAAACTGTAAAATTTAAGTTTCTGTTAATCAATTTTTTTCTTAAATTAACATAAAATTATTACAAAAAATTATTGGAGTTGTACTACTAGCTTTCACACGCTCGCCCCAAGCTTGCTGCCTCGAGTAAACAATCTAAAAAATTTGTAAATATTTTAGGATTTCATAATAACTTGGCTCATAAGATTTAACCCAAAACTAACTGATTTGCTAAAACGTACCTCAAACGGGTATCACCACATAAACCAACCTTTTTGATAGTATCTATTCTTCTTCTTATCAATTTAGTTCTTTCTTGTTTTTGTTAATTTCTAACTTAAGACTCTTGCCGAAGTTCACAAACTAATTTTTTCGCTTTTGATGCAATCTTGTCTATGATACAGCGACCAAAAATGAAAAGATGCATGATTCGTGGCAAATATGAAAATGGAACTTTTGGAAGAAATTGAATATCTCAAATAGCATGAAAGAGAGTTTCCTATTCTCTTATTTCATCCCCAAAGCTTAAAGGTTTCCTCTAATTGTGGATCTCGGGTTTGCTATGATAGCGCATGTGCAACTGCATCGCGATCATAGCCTTCTCAAACGACCCTCTATTGAGCATAACCGAGAACACAAAGAGGGAAAGGAAGAAAGCCCCCAATGCATCCTAACGCTAAGTATTACGAGTAGAGTCGGTCGAAGAATAGTAAAGCCAGGATTAAAGAAGGTAATTAAGGGTCAATTAAAATTAATTGAACATATAACTTCATAAATTTATATCTTCAACCCATTAAAAATTTTTACATTGTTTTATATCGAATTAGCTGATTTAACGTGTAGAATTTTATACAATTGCTTTGGTTGAAATCTAATGGATGCAAAATTTAGGATACATTTTAAATTGTAAAAAGATTTACTATGATTTCTCAAAATAGACCATACAATCTTCGAAGAGATGGATGTGTATGTAAATAGTATAAATTAAAAATGAAGTTAAAGTAAATGCATATGAAAGATTTGGTATTTTTCAATGAGTAAAGGTTATTATACATTCACTAGTATATTCAAAGATTTCTTATAGAAACATTAAAGATTATCAGATTCTAAGATTTATTATAAAGATATGAAAGTATATTGATTTTTTTTCCTTGAGTTACTGTAGTTTAGAAGTGTATTCACTCTTGAATTATCTTTAAATAACTTATTATATTGTTTAAATAATTTTTTTAGGCTTAACATTTTTGAACAACATGAATAGAAGATGAAAATATTAGTATAGAAGGCGAGAACAAAAGCCGAAAATGTATAAATTTTCAATTATTAATTAAATTGCTTTTTTTATGTTTTTTTCATGAATATTTTAAAATTAAATTGTTAGTAATAGAGATAGAATAATATAGAACTCAGTTTTTGTCTTGGTTAATTATAAGTCCTAGGCCTGATCGTGACATATAATGATTTCTTTCTTTCTTCAAGATGCAATTACATGAGGAGATCTTTACTGTTTTGCTTTTGTTGCATAGGCTGGATTGATCAAGTCAAATTTTAAACCCAAGTTGTGTTTTAAAATTCTATGCTTTTGACATAGTATAATCTGTTAAGTTTAAAATTCTAGGGCATTGAAACGAGCTAATTTGTCAAGTTTAAAATTCACCCAAGGTCTTAAGTCACACACACACACACAGAGATATATATCAAAGAGTGGTCAGAGGCTATTTTACAAGCCCCTAGCCCCCGTCATGTGCATAACTATTCGAGGACCTCTCTCACTACCGACAAACGAGTCAGATGGGGATTCGAACTCGTGACCTGAGGGAACTTATGACCTTTAAAGGGGTTGTTGTACCAACACACACACACACACACACACACACACACACTA